GTAGCTGGGCCCCCCTCCTCCCCTCAGCAGACCAGGGAGACGTGGAGCAGCTTTTCTCGCCGCGGAGGACGCGGGCGGCGGGACCGCGGCGCGTCTGGGCGGTCCTGCCGCCCGCGTCCTCCGGGGCAAGAAAAGCCCCATTCGTAAGTGCGGATCCGACATAAGTCGGATCCGCGTAACCCAAGGACTGCCTGTACTACAAAAACTGAGATGCTTGTGCCATAATAATCAGTTAGAAAAAGCAACTGAACTGGAGCCTGAGATGGTAACAAAACAGAAGACCTGACACTTGTGTACTGCTGAGCATCAAACAGGACCAGGGTAAGTGTAGCCACAATCTAAAATGTCTTGAGTGAGTTTGTCTCGTGCTTGTGCCTGGGCTGTTCTGCAGACCATGTAAGCATACTTGAAGTATTTTTCTTCTAGCAGTTGGAGTTTAGACCCAACAAAATGAAGTGTGGTCAGTGACACCTTTGGCAAATGAAGATGATCATCTATTTTGGAAGAAAGTATGGCCCTTCAAAGGGCAAGTTCTCTATCAGAGTGAACCTCTTATACAAAGCCAGAGTTCCAAAGCCATGAGTTCCAAACTGCTATGACCTTTGATCCTGAGGCAGTATCTGCCACTCAGTGCCGCTGTAGTCAGGGTTTGGCCACCAACCAACAAGTGCCTCTCTTATATGTTTGAGACTGAGATTAACATTTAATTAGAACAGAAGAAACCTAAAAAAAATAAGTCAGCCAGCCAGCAATATTTAGAAGTCCACTGAAAGGCTAAATAAATGGAGCTCTGAAGTCTGTCACTTTGGAGGCACAGAATTCCTGGCAATTCTTTTTTAGAGGAGCAAGTACTTAGACTTCTCAGAAGTCTGATGTATCTCTACATGCTGAGAGAGAATGGTTTCTGAATGTCAAGTTGGCTGGAAGTGTGGTGGAAACATTTTTAGTAACAAGTCACTGCTTACAATTATGTTATGTGCTAGTGGATTTCTTCACCTTGAAGGACACAGGCGACAAGTTGAAATGTTTATGGATGTTAAGTTAATCAGCAATGGACCAATAAAATATTAACATATACAAGTACTTTGCAAACATTAATATTCAACAGAAACTGAAATCACTTTCAGATGCAATATAGCAAGCCTGTTTTAGAGCCGACTAACTAAGCTCTTAACTTAGTTGAAATCAATTTGATCTATAAAGTTAAACAGACCTGCTTACATTTCACTATGGCTGTTTAACAAAACACTTACTCTGCTTAATCTAGAGACAGCCAAAGAGACTGAAGTTTTAAACTCTTCCGGGTTCTTCTGTGCCAAGGTAGTGATAAGACTGGTAGCAGCAGTAACCACACCCTGGAAATAAACAGAATTACTAATATTTTTGTTCATATACTTAACACCTGCAATTGTTTAAAAGTTTCAAATGAAAAATGGACATTTATTATGTAACTGGCACTCAAATTTAACCTTAATTTTATTATCTTCCTTTTGTGTATGCTATTAAGTCTAAAGGAAAAATCCAGTTTGAATTAATCCACAGTTGTAAGTGATATCTTATTTTAAGGTATTTTTTTTTTCCAGGTAGGAAAAGGAAAAGTCATGCGACTTCTTGGTTCATCCTCCCCCCCCCCCCCAATCCCCCTTTCCCCACTGCATAGCCTCAGAACCATTAACACTCCCTTTTAGCCCCAAGTTGAAATGGTTATTGATTTTTGGGTTTTGTTTACTGGTTACTGATTTTTGTTAGATATTTATGTTTGCTGAAAAGTACTGTTAGCTCAGTGCTACTGCACTACTGCTTGACACATTTGCTGTACAAGTATCAGAGGGGTAGCCGTGTTAGTCTGAATCTGCAAAAGCGACGAAGAGTCCTGTGGCACCTGACGAAGTGGGTCTTTGCCCACGAAAGCTTATGCTCCTACACTTCAGTTAGTCTATAAGGTGCCACAGGACTCTTCGTCACATTTGCTGTAGTATACTATTGAACCTCTGCCCCTCCCTTGATTCCAGGAAGCAGCTGACATGTCCAGTAACAGCTCCTGGGAGGCTGAGGAGGCAGTGCCATGTGCTGCTGCCACCCACAGGCACCACCCATCTGGTTCCCATTGGCCACAGTACCCTGTTTCTAGTTATTGGAAGCTGCCAGGGAAGGTACCTGGAGGGCAGGAGCAGCTAACAGAGACCCCTGTATTCTACCCTGTGCCCAGGTGCCGCAGGGACATGTCAGTCACTTCTAGGAGCAATGTGAGGCATGGCTGGGATAGGCAGGGCTGCTATGCTACTGGTTTGGTAATCCCATGGACAGAATTAAATACCCAGACTGTAGTTTGCCCACTCCTGTTTTAGGAGAACTACAGTTCAACCTGTTTTATTAAAAAAAAACAGATATGCAAAAAAATGCAAATAGTGGATATGAGTTAGTCACCCAGCAATTTAAGCAGTTTCCTTCATTTGACATATTGACAGAAACTAGGATTTCCCCTACAGTGATTGGGCTAGATCACTGAATGGAATCCCAGAAGAAATAATGCTGTCATAAGCTTACCAAGTGCTGGTCATTGAGGAGATGCACCACCCTGGATGTCCAGTCTCCCATGGGAACAAAGTCAGGAGAAGTTCTGTACAAACGCAGCAAGCACAAAGCAGCACTCTGCTTCACGCTATCCATGGTGTCTCTGCAAGGTAACACATGAGAGAGACTTGGAACTACACAATAGACCACGTGCTCATGCTTTTCACAGGTCACTAAACACTATTCTCCATAAGGAAACCAGAATAGAACCCAGCACAAGAAAGTTTTTTTTAAAATTAAACAGTATTTGATTCCCCTAGTTAATTATTTAAATTACTTTCAACTACTTTACATTTGAAGTTAAATATTTTGATAAACGGTTTGAAAAGTTGGCTAATTATGCTAATGGGCATAATTCCTTTTGTACCCCTTGCTTAACACTACTTGGCAACATAAAAACCAAGAGACTCTCAACACTCCCTTGTCTTCTAAAAGGGACAATACACATCTATTCTACAGATGGAAACACACTGGTGTTAGAGATGTGATAAGTCAGAGTAAAGCAAAAACAATGACTTGAAGTTAGAGAGGGGATCAACATGAAACCAAGATCTCAAAATAGATATTTGTAGTTGAAAAACGATTTACAAATATTCTACAATATTTATTTCCTAGAAATGAAATGTCAAAAGATGCTGTCTGTAGATCACCATCAAAGTTGGGGGCCACCTCAATTCATCGGATGAAGTGGATTTTACCCACAAAAGTTTATGATATTATACATGTGTGTTAGGGTACATCTACACTGCAACACTATTTCAAAATAACTAGCACTAATCCAAAATAACTTAGTCCACATCTACACAGCAGGCAGTTATTTCTAAATAGTGTCAAAATACTGTCAAGGTTGAGGACTTCTTCCTCAACTCCTATAGCCCTCAATGTACAAGGAATAAGGGAAGTCGGAGGAAGAGTGCTCTATTTTGAAATAAGCGGTTTAAAAATAAGATACACAATTGACATAGCCCAATTTGCATAGCTTATTTCGAGTTAAGCTCTGCAATGTAGACACACCCTTCGTCTCTAAGGTGCCAAAGGACAGCTCCTGATTTTTAACAATTACAGACTAAAATCTGAGTAACCTGAAACTCCACAACAACCACCACCCCCAATGGCTAAACTGCCTTTTGCTGGTCTCATGAACAATTCTGTTCAGATTGGTCTCAGCTCTGCAATGTTAAATCACCAGTGCACGTCCGTTACTTTGGTTTTCCTCATGTGCGCTGGTCATTTAACATTGCAGAGCTGAGACCAATCTGAACAGAATTGTTCATGAGACCAGCAAAAGGAAGTTTAGCCCTTGGGGTTTCGTTGTTGTTGTGGAATTTCAGGTTACTCAGATTTTAGTCTGTAATTCTAATAAGCCAGGCCCATGCCACAGCAACAGTATCACTGGCACATGGCACTAGGAGCAACTGAAAAATGCCAAAGTATCCATGACAGCGAGCAGGAAGAAGAGATTCTTGTGGATCAGGATACATCATAGGGGATCGTTAGTTGCACACAATGAGAACAGGTAAAATAATTAAAATCAACTGAGGAAGTTGCATACAAAAATCTTTGTAAGAATGAGTTTTAAAGTGGAAAAGTCAAACTCTTAAGTTCGGAATTGTTAGAATCATAATGTACAGGCAACTTTAATTGTATATGTGCAATTATACATTTCTCAAGTTACAAGATCAAATGCAATTTTTTCCACAGACTCTTTGGTGTATTCATTGCACTGGATGTACACGTTGGACCTCCCTAGACCGGCACCCAATTTTGCCAGACTAGGGGTGGTCATTTCTGGACCCCTTGCCAACAGTCTCCTCCAGCCCTGGCCTGACTGCTGCCCTCTCAAGCTGGCTCCCCCCTCTTACTGGCTGGCCTGCCTTCTAGCTCCGCTGGCATGCACAGGGCTCCTGCAGCCCTGCCAGCTTGCTGGACTCCCAGGCATTAGCCCTTCACTGGGCCTCTCTGGTCTGGCAACACCCATGGTCCTGCAGGACCACAGATGTTGCTGGACCAGTGTGTCCTGGTTAAGAGAGTTTCAACCAGTACACAAATAAAATTAATTTTGCACAAAGAAGTGCATCTAGAGGGCTTCACATCACAATCCGATTATCTTTTGAATATGCAACAGTCAATCATTTTTCTATTACAATGATGAAAGGTCAATGAAACAGTCAAAAATCTAGTTTGTATTTGGGAAAAAAAAATGTATGAGAAGGATCCATACAAAATACTTAATACTAAATCAACAAAGTAGAACAGAATTGAGTTACTACCTGGATGTTTTCATTTCTCTTGAGTCCTGAGAATTCTGACAGGCTTAGTCCTATGATCATAATTTCTTATTACACAGTTATTGTGGTGAATTCCTGTCAGATAATGGTTGCAAAGCTTTTGTTTCGACCATGAACTTGGCGGGCAAATCAGGGCAAAGAGATTAGTGGCAACTTAAAAGAAAACTGTCACTCAAATGACTTTCTGTAGATATAAAACCTGGCATAGTCCTATGCTCACCTAGAAAGGAAACGTAGATTCTGGAGGAAGCTCAAATATATGGTGCAAAAAAAAGTTCACAATAATATTAAGCTTTTAGTAGAGTTCATTTCTAATAAGGAAATCTATAGCTGAAGTCTGGCGTTTTCATATGCTTTCACTGTGCCTTTTAATATGATTTATCTGAATAGAAAAAAGGGAACAGCTTGTGTTTTCCCAAGCAAAATATGGGGAATCACACTTCTGGGACAACAAATGTTAAGCTTTAATATTCATGTTCAGTCACTGAAGCAAGCAATTTGATTTTCATATGTATTGAGCACTTGGAACGGATGGCAATTGGCACATATAAAACATCAGGTCACTTAGTACCTAAATAGGGCCTTACACTCCTAACTTTATGTTGAGAACCACTAGTACTACTTATTGTTACGTTATTGTTTCAGATACATACCCCGCTACAAGTATTTTTGGAATTTCTCCAGCAAATGCTTCTGCCATCTCACGGCTACCCACATTGGCTATACAATGCAAAGCTAGTCCCATGAAGGTAGGATTGCGGCTGGCCAGGTCATTCTTGATTGCATTGTTTATCAAACGAATCAGCTCGCTGTTGGAGTTCACTAGTACGGAGATGAAAAGATACCCCTGTGGGTCAGAAAAGGGACAAGAGAAGTATTATTTCTGATAAATCAAGCCAATTAAAACTAATTTTATGTCTTTTGCTAATATCGTAGAGTATTCTAGGATTTCATGCCATCCCCTCATGCAATACTTATCCTTACAGCTCTCCTAGGAGTTGTGTAAATAAGTCCATGAAATTTCAGTCCAATAACAGAAAAGGTCTAAAACTGAATACAGCAATGTCTTAAAAAAAAAATCACGTGTACATGCCACCTAAATAATGTATTTACTCCTAAAAGGCCTGAGCGCTATTCTATTCTTTTCACACACCATCACATCACATACATCTAGTAAATGCATGTTCTCCCATTAGGGACATTAATCATAGAACAAAAGACCTGGAAGGGATCTCAAGAGATCAAGTCCAGTCCTCTGCCCTCACAGCAAGACCACGCACTGTCTAGACCAGGGCTACTCAACTTTGGAAGCCCTGGGGGCTACAATGATACTCTCAGCACATGCAGAGGGCCGCAACTTAATTGTGGTTGCATATACAGGCAGTCCCTGAGTTACGCGGATCCGACTTATGTCGGATCCGCAGTTACGAACGGGGTTTGCTCCGCGTCTCCCTGGTCTGCTGGACTCCAGCAGACCAGGGAGACGTGGAGCAAAGCCGCAGAGCACGTGGGCAGCGGGACAGCCCAGACGCACCGTGGCTGGCCCCCCCTCCGGCGCCCCCGCGGCTTTGCTCCCCGTCTCCCTGGTCTGCAGACCAG